TTCAACGAGGCCACAGAACTGACAGTACCAATACTATTATTTCCGGAGATAACGAGCGAATTCGCGTTTTCTAAACTTCCATGTCCACTTGCCGCTTGAGCACGTTTTACTAAGTACGATAGAAAGAAAAGTACCTACTTGAAAGTTCGAACAAACCTTTCGTTTATACGAACATTATAAAATCGTCTTCTTGTACTTTCATTCCATGTAACTTCCTCTTTTTATTTTCTCTTTTCTTCTTCTTCTTCTTCTTCTTAAATTTGACTTGACTTTAGAAATTGACACTGAGAAAAACTTTTCTGTCCGCTTATAATTACTTGTCTTTTCTTTTTCTTTTATTATTATTCGCTTTACTTACCAAAGCCAATATTTGGAAAATCCCAAGATAAAATAATTGCTAGAATATGAGAGATAATTGCGAGTATATATCGTTAAAAAAAAACGATAAAAAAGTAAAAAGAAAACTTTTACTTTAATGAAGAAACATTTGTTGTGAGTCATTATTATTCATCTTACTTCTCTTGAAATATTGTTTCAAGTCATACATTACATGATGTTATTAAGTATATAATGACTGATTTTGAACTGAAAGTACTGTCTTATAACTACTTACTTTTCGTGAAATTATTTTTCACATAAAACCTAGGTTTTTGTGAATTGATTAACGGCAATATATATATATATATATATTAGGTGGTACGAAAAGTCGTTTCGTTTTTCTTTTGTAAAAATGAAGACAATTTTTGCTTCGAAGTTAAACCTAAATCTTTCAAGTGGTCATAGATAGTTGAATTTGATAAATTTAACTTTTCATCGATCTCATGTGTTACTATTTGTCGGTTTGCATCACTTAATGCCATTACTGCGTCAAAAGAAAACGAAACGACTTTTCGAACCACCTAATATATATAACTATAGTTTATGGAGTTCAGACAGAAAGAAATATAACTGACTGATGATATAATATAGTTTATTAAATTATGATGATGTGATGTTGAGCGGTATTTACATAAGGTTTTCAAAAAAAGTGGCGTGGTTACAAAAATACAGAATGCAAAAGAGTTATAAATATAAAACTGGCTAACTGATAAACTGATAAACTGACTGATAAAATACGCAGACGAATATAACAGACTGAAAGAATAATTATTGAACTGAGAACTGAGGACTAAGAAACCGATACAGACAAACAGATATACAGACTGATACAGATTAAGAACTGATAGATTAAGGAACTCTCGAAGACTAAAAACTCTCACATATTTATATTATAAATGAGCAACACCCCTTTGGAGAGGGAAGGAGATTTTGAACACTATCGAAAATAGCAAAAGGATCCACCACCCCCCCCCCATAGTCAACTGCTGGGTACAGCCTTTGTTTCCGATAAAAATCGTAGTGAAATCCTCCTTTCACCAAGATCGATAGCGTGTTCAAACAGTAAATAAAATAAATGAAGGACTAAATATCAATCTTATCGTCTAAGATAGCGTTTTTAAACAAGAAATAAAATAAAAAAAGAACTACATATTAATTTTATCGCCTACAAGTTACTTACCCTCTCTGACAAAAATATTTTTAACGTTTAAAAAAATTGCATAATGTAAAATTTATACGTGGAATATAACTAAATTATATATAATTTATATTTTACATCAATGAAATAATAAATCTTTCGGTCCGAAGAAACAACAAATTTTAAATAACTGAATCGTAAAAATATATATTTCGATAATTATGAAAGTTGATGAAGCTAAAATATGGAAAAAGTGGATTTTATCATTTATATATTTTACACTACAAATATTCATACTATAAAATTAAACGTAAAATAAAATTTTGTTTCTTTTTTCTTTTTTTTCTTTTTTTAATATACGAATGTATGATTTCAAAGTAAAACGATATTATGAAAGATTAAAATTGTTTGATTTTGGCAATTATTATATTATTTCCACTTTGTTTACAAATTTTCTCTTTCACAACCCACGAAAAGAAATCGAAAATGAAAAAAAATAGTTTAAACACATAGATTTCTTTGAAAGTCATTCGCTGAAAACGTAGTCATTCGTATACATAGTACCTTTCTTTCTATATATATAGATTTCTAACTAATATTTACTTTTCACCAAAATCTGTACGCGTTTGCCTTGCCCGATTAAAGTTTAGCGCCACGAGTTTCGCCTTCCAGTTCGTACAGTCATATATTTCATAACTCGCTACCCGCAATTTCGCTTCGTGTTCCGACTCAATTTCCGCTTTTCGATGTACGCCGATGGGACGACATATTTTCGAGCTAGCCAGATCGAAAATTTTCTCGAAATAAATTTCAAATGAAGGATCGGAATTAATGAATTGTAAATATCCAATTAAATAGACATTATGATTATTCGAAAGAATATTAAACCAGGTAAACCGTCTAACTGCGTGCATAAACCCATTGGGAATATCATTAAAGAATAAAAGAAGAAAAAATGTTTAAAAATTCATTGGTCAGATTTAGAAAATCAAAATTCAAACAGAGACAAATAGAAACGATATTCCAATATAAAAATATGAAATCATAAGACTCATACGAACGAATCACTAATTGTCGTGAATAAAACAGAACGGTGAGGAGAAATTAAAGAAAGAAAGGGTGAGAAAAAAGGAATAGAAGGATGGGTGAAAAAGGTGGCGAAGGACGAGAAGAATAAAGAAGGAAGAAACAAAGGGGAAGGAAAGGGTGAACGGTTGAAGTTACGAAATTTTCTGATCGGTCAATAACGATTCTAGCTGAAATATAAATGTCTTCGTGAGTAGTCAAACCGTAGCGTGCGATTCAAGAGAAGGATGGGATGAGGGGGTTAGCGTGAGGGTGAGGGTGAGGAAAAAGTGAGTGGGGGAAAAGAGTTAGCTTTGCCTTTTAATCTTGTAGCTTTGCCTCTTTTAATCTCGTTCTATCGATTCGGCCCCATTCCCCTTCTACACTTCGTAGCTATCATCTAGCCAGAGCAATTTCTCCTTTCGTTCGTCTGTCTGCCCGTCCTTTCGTCTACCTGTTCTCTTGTTCGTTCGTTCGTTCGTTCGTTCGTTCGTTCGTTCGTTCGTTCGTTCGTTCGTTCGTTCGTTCGTTCGTTCGTTCATTTGTTCAACTGTACATCGAATGACCAAGCCGGACATCCGGTTCGGAGGATACGCTCGTCTAGGAATTCAAGTGAACGGGAAAACGTGTATACTGCTTGCGTGCGAAAGAGAAAGAAAAAGAGAGAAAGAGAGAGTACTAGGATAAACATAGAGACGTATGGTCCACGAAATAAGCTAGTACCACCGTCGAATTTTCGAAGTATTGGTAAGCTTAACGATTCAAACGACGTTTTTTCACTCGATATCTCACTTTTTGCCACAAGGCATTCCTCTTTTTTTCTTTTTCATTTTTTTTTTGTTCAATAAAGAAAATAGACGGATATTGGTATCGATCTGTGAGCGAAATATTAATAATTAATTTTTTTTTCTCGATTAAACAAATACTTAATTGCGATCATCAATTTAATTTCTCAGTCTCTCATTTTTGTTCTAAGAAGATGCATCGTTTTAATTATAAATTATTAAAAAGAAAGATTATTGAGAAAAAAGAAATAAAATGTAATTAGATGATACATTTTTATTCAATGGTATAACATCTTCGTTAAAAAAAATGTTTCAGTGTGATGTATGTATATATAAGTTTGTCAAAAATTAATAAAACTTAAATGAAAAATCAAAAATTGTTTATTATTACTCGGACGATTGTTTCATGTGGAATATTTTTTTCTCTCAGAAAGATATTGTTGTAATCGATATTGAAATACGTACGAAGCTGAAGTGGTAAAGAAACAAATAGAAATATCAAGAGTCTTCTCTAGCTCTCTCTCTCTCTCTCTCTTTCCTTTTTTATTTTTGTTTTTTATTGTTATCTGTTTGCTTTTACTCTTTTCTATCGTTCATAAAGCTTTCTTTCTCTCTTATAGAAAAGAACATACTTTTCATTTAAAAAAATCAAATGGTTGAATAAGAAAATTTATATACGAATATATATATATATATAAACAAAAAAAAAGAATGACATATTATATAAAAACATGGTAGTTTTTCTAAGTAATCCATGATAGAGCAATGAGTTAATGATAAATCAAAAATACAACAAAACGACTTCACTTGAATTTGTAGGAAAGGTAATTTTCAGAAACTATCCATCATAAACTGAAAGATACTTCAAATTCAGCAACCAACGTAAATATCCATATTTATGTGAGCTACTTTATCCCGCGTAATTGTAAACGTTGTTTTCTTCCGTATTCGTATTCCGTACTTTTGGTTTGGTTTGTTTACGTTCGACAAATGAATATTGGCTCGCACATATTAACAAGAAAGAACGTTCAGTGACGAACGCTGCTCTGCAACCACCCATTGAACCTGAATAATTCATTCGCCTACGTAAGATAAACGTGAATTTATTTTCCACGAAATCCTCGAACGAACTCGTTCGATATTATACTTGTAAAGTCATTCAACTTACGAGTCTGACGTGTTAATATAAATATACTTTGATTTTTTTTCATTTTATTACAAATATTTAAATCAATTTTCTAGCATATATTATAATCATAAAAGTATTAATAATTTAGGATCAATCGAATGATTTCAATCCAAAACAAATTTCTTATAAGCTTGAAGATATTTCATAATCATAATATCATCATCGATTTTGTTTCTAATCGAAATTTGTAAAACAATTGGCGATTACCACGAAGACGGTTAGTACGGTTAAATCTTTTCAAATCGAAAAATAGAGAGAAAAAAAAACAATTTAATACAAGGGAAGAAAACGGGAAATCATTTTCTCACGAAACGAGACGACGATTTTCAACGTTGAAATCTCGAGACGCAAGTATAACAGTCGGGCGGAACGCATAAATCAGCTGCACGCGAACTGCTCGAGCGGGTAGAAGTGCCTAGGCCAGCCCAGCGGAGCCTTCAATAAAATGCAAAGACGGAAAGATAAAGTTAAAGATAAGCCGGTCCCAGACCCGCACAGAGAGTACTTGGACGCTGAGTCCAGCGACGAGGAGAGAGGAAGTAAGATTTACGAGAAAAATATTAAAGGCTCTAAGTTCGTTCGCTACCTACTCCTCTCTTTCTTCTTACCATGAAATTCTTCTTTTACCTATCTATCTCCCTTGTTCTTTTCTTTTCTCTCTCTCTCTCTCTCTCTCTCTCTCTTTCTTTGATTCTATCACATTTTTTATCCACTCAAGATTCACTTCTTTTGACGAATTCATCGAATTTTCGTTTCTTGTTTTTTCCCTTTTTTTCTCTCAATGATAAAAGAATTTTTGTCGATAATTTTACAATTTTTTATTAAAAACCTGCAGCTCCTTTAATTTTGGTTAACGTCAATTACCTTACTCAAAAGTTCTAAATATCTTTTTTTATCCTCGTGTCCCATTCTCCTTTGGGAATAATTATTTTATCAGATAATTATAAATATTTGTATAGATTCTTGTCGATATTTGATAACAGAATTTTGTATTCGTGAACTTTCTTATTTAATTGGCGATAATTCATGAATCGCTATCAACGAGATCACTTAAGTGAAGATAGGTGAACAAAATGACCTGCGTAAAAGCCATCTCTCAAACAGTTTCGAGTCTTTCCGAGTTAAATCTCGGACGATTAAATTACAATTGACGTTAAAACGAGAGTATGGCTTTGAATTATGCAATGTCACGACTAACGCGACTGCTTCTCCCCGATTAATCGACTTGGTCTCCTTTAGCAGTAGCAACACCCCCATCACCACCTCCTCTACTTACACCTCCTCCTACGAGTTTTCCCTTTTCCTCCGGGGGACGAGTTTCTAATTTGTCTCTTAGATTATGGTAATTTCTTCCTCATACCAAACCGCTTTCCCTAGACGGGACTGGGGTAGGGTGGGATAGAAACGAAGTAGAGGAATCCACTTGCCCGTTGGAAAATGAACCTAATTCGTCCACGCGCGAGTTCTCCCAGTACTTGCACCGCTTCCAAAGTAGATAAACTAGATAAAGCGGTAACCTATATATATATGTACTACGTGACCGCGAACCATGTTACGCCAAATGCACTCAACCTGTGAAAACGTAGCGAATTCCGAATACTGAAACTGTCCGCGATTAAAGTCTCATGGTTAATCTAACACGTTGATCTTACAAAAGTAATTCTCATTTCTATCGATTAATTATTAGAAGTTCTTAACGAAAGATCTTTTTTCTAGAATCGATTCGAAATTTGGTTCGACGTAATCTTTAAATCCCGTGCTAGTTTCTTATTTACTCTCGAGACGAATAGTAAAGGGAATTAAGATTTTGTATTATTTCAGGTTAAAAAATAGAAGAGACAATTTTAAGTTCCTGCTTAATCTTTTATCATCGTACTTTTCTCTTGTAGTGAAACAGTAGTTACAAATGTTGTTTTATGCAAAACACATTAGTAGAGGTTTTTGTACAGTACTTTTCATTTGTATTTAATTTACCGCGGTTCTGAGTTTGCAGCAAATCGATCGGTCTTTAAAGTTCTAATACTCTGTACATGTACTTAAAAATAAATATTTCTTTTCTTTTCTTTTCTTTTTTGTTTTTACTGCATACGTAAGATTAGTGAGATAAGTCGAATTTTCTCTATCGGAATTCAAATTCGAATTTTTCGCTTTCTAAACGAATCCTTTGAACTATTAATGTAAACTGTTTATAAGTTTTTAAGACAAATTTTCTACGAGTTTTAACATAATTAAAAACAGATAATCTCGTTCCTATAGGTATATGTAACGACTTGTATATACTTTTACCAAAAAAATATATATATACGAAATTTTATTTATTTTGCCCTTTTTGTTTTTTTATTATATTGAAAAATCAAAATAAATTGAAAACGTCAGTTTAAATTTAAACGTCAGTTAACCTGACGTTTCGCATCAAAGTCTTATATTACTTCAAACCTAAAATTAAAAATGACAAAGTTTTGTCAACAGTTAAAATACAATTAAACAAAGTTTTATTTTGTATGTGTTTTAACATTAAACAAAAAGAATGATATCGAGGATGTTAATGATGACAGAAGCAAGGGAAGAGAAAATAGAATAGAGGGATAATAATAATTGCGAATGATCTGATGACAGCTACAAGTCAAACTCAAAACATCAGTTACCCAGACACGTTAACCGATGCATGAGCGTTTAACCACGACCACATAACACGAAGGTAAACGCTAGTAGCCCAGTGCCTGCTAAATTTTCGAACGTTTTGCGGAAATGTCATACGATCGAGCCCGACCCGTTATCCGCTGTAATCAGGGCGCGTTCAAGTTTATCTCATGCTATGACACTGTACTTTCATGCACAGCCTGTTACATACCGTACATGGGGAGAGGCTGTCGTTGCTTTCTAGAAAATTCAACTATCTCGTCGATAAAAATCAAAGGAACGAATTTCGAAATAAAAATTTCAACCTTTTTTCACTATTTCATCGAAATGTTTTTCTATTCTCGCCTCTTTTCTCGATGCGCTCACACTCTCTCAAATAGACCTTGAATGCATCGTATAGAATTCGTTTTTTCAATAGATTTCTCTAGATTTATTAAAGTACTTAACAAAAGAGTCATAAAGTTTACCCTAAAGAAAGAATTTATTTTTCTTTTTTATTTTCCATTTAATTGAAATTTAATATCTATCGAATATTAAATTTTATACATAAATTTAATAATATATTATAGATTTTTATTTGTATTTCTAATTTACAATTAGTTTCATTTATTATTTGTATATCTCTTCAAAGAAAGACATAATACGTACACTCTAATCGATTTTCTTTCACGATTAAATATAAACGCAATAGGGGATGGCCTCGTTGAAACAAGGAAAAAGTGTAAACTTTTTTTTTTCAAAACCGTATATACAGTTAATACTTACCTACTTTAATACGAACAACTCGATCTGTTGAAACGATAAAAAACAAGTGGTTTCTCAATACACGCTAAATAAAGGTATTACTGACCTAAATAAATTCTTAGAATTTGACTGAACACGTCAATGTTAGACAAATGTGACACATATCACGTAAAAGTATTATTGACCTATATATATATATATATACGTATTTTTTTTTTTTGAATTCTACTTATTTAATCGATAATAAACAAAACACATGTGTTTACTACACGCGTATATATATAACATATAAAGATATCGTTGACCTAAATAAATTCTCAAAACTCGGCACGACGAGTCAATAAATAAACAGATGTGTTTTCGATACTTTCATAACATAAGGATATACTCTGACCTACATAAATTTTTCAGAATTCGACTGGACGTTTAATGAATTTAGAATAGGTCGTAAGTCGAAGTATCTGATCGTTGATCTTCCATAAGGTGTATAGAAATAAATTTTATATAGAAGTAATCATAGTAAAACGTAACGAATGTCTTTTGAAATTTGTTAACCCTTGCACGTCAGACATTTGTTCAATATAAATATTTGTAACACCAAAGTAGTGTCAATGAACGGCATATTATTAACATCTAAACGTGCCATATGCATGTAGGATTCTAAACAAACACTAACATAGATAATAAAAAATGATATATATTGTCGGATTATTCAGCAAGTCTAATTATAAGTAAACTGTAAAAAATCACAATAAATAAATGTTTCTTTTTCTAGAAAAAAAATTTGGAAAAAAATAACCAATAGCATAAGCTATACACGTAATTCAATAGTTATCGAAATAAAAAAAAAATAAAGAGAATAGTATTCGTTTTCGCTATCTTTCATACACACATTTTATCTCAAAATGAGGATCCCTCAATTCTCTGAGGTCAAATATAAGAGACATTGATAAGTCTTCTAACGAATAGAAGAAGATGTCGCTAGAATTCGCATAATGTGTTCTCTATCATAGTAAGAGATAAATTACGGCAACGTATCCTAGAACTGTGCTCTCTCTCTCTCTCTCTCTCTCTTGTCTCGATTCTACGTCGACCGACGTGTTTCCTTTTCCGTCGATTTAGTAGCTCTTTGCGATTTATCGTTCCTATTAAATCGGCTAAGGGTAAAGTCGTGATAAGTTAGAGTGGAAACGAGCAAGATAGAAAGAGAGAAAGAGAAAACGAGACTTGGACGTCAGGTGAAAGACAAGAATGAAGAAGAGTGAGTTAGAATGAGATAGAAAATAAAAAAAGTATAAAAAAGAGAAAGAGAGAGAGAATGATATCGGTATCGAGAAAAGAAATAGAAGTAAAGAAAGAAAGAAAGAAAAAGGGAGAGAGAGAAAGAGAGAGAGAGAGAATGATATCGGTATCGAGAAAAGAAAAAGAATGAAAGAAAGAAAGAAAGAAAAGAAGAAAGAAAGAGAGATTCCTAGAACGAATGCCTTCGATTTAACTCTCCTCTTCGATTTAGGAGGACCCATCGCAGCAGGCGCCTTTCCAATCGACGACTAACGAACGATCCGTGCGTTCGTAGAATTTGTTTCCCTTCTCCGTCTGAATCTGTGTCCTTTTTATTTACGAAACCCTTACCCTTCCGTCTTTTTCTCTCTTTACAAAGAATCTCCGCGTCTTTGCTAGCAAGGCTAGGCTAGCTAGCTAGCTAGCGAACAGCAGAGCAGAATCTTTAAATTTCTCAATTAAACTTCCCGACGATTTTATGACCTCCGTTTCTCGTGATTTAGGATCTAGATGAATTGAAAGTTAAATTAATTGCAGAAGGAGACGAAGGAAAGGAGGTCGTGGAAGAATTAAGAGCGGACTATACGAGGGAGGAATTGAATGAATTGGTGAGTAGTGCCTTATACTACTTTTAGAAAAGGAATTGTGAAAGATGAAAAAGAAAAAGACATGTCTTCACTGTGTTACAAACGGGTAAGAATATAGAAAAATCTCAACGTCGTAGTAGATATAGCTAGGCGTCGAATAAAATCATTAAAGACTAGATCGTTCGTATAAAGAGACAGTTAAAAACTTTTCTATCCATTTCTTATTAGAAAGTAACCGATCTTAACGATCTTTCAATATTCTTTTTTAATTGCGTTTTCATTAAACACGTTCGTTCGTTACGCCTTTTTAATCTATCCATCTATCTATCTATCTGTCTACTTCTTTCTTTTCCCCCTCGAACGTTATAAGAAAATTGTGTGAGAGAAAGAGAGAGAATAAGATCACAGTTTTTAAAGAGAAAAGTTCTTAATCCTCGAAGAATCTTAAATAGTCTACGTTTCTCGAATACAAATCATTCTCACTCTAGACGAATTTTCGTTGTTGGCTAAGGTACACTGCGTAAAAGATATGACGACACTGAGTGGATTGTCGAAGAAGGATTGGACGTATCAGTGTCATCTGATTATTCAAGAGTTCTTTGAAAGCCCAAAGCATCTCGTGCTCTGCATATACTACGAGGATAAAAGGAACGTACCAACAGCCTTGCTGTCTTTTCCGTCAACACCGGTACACGAGCTTTGTTACTTCGTACGAAAACCTAACGAGATATTTCGCTTGGAGAATTTCCACGATAGCGTTACGTTTGGCTCGTTCAATGGTAACGTCGAAGCTTACATTCTCGGAGTTATTCAAAATGCTCTGGCGCCGGTATTCTTCAAGATAGACTCCTGGCCCGACAGTATCCTTTATAACCCTTTTATTTTACCTACTCGTATATTTTCATTTTTTCTCTTTTTTTTTTTTTTTGATTAAATTTAAGAAAACTTTCTTTTGCGATTAAATTTGCCGAATGATTTGAAAAATCTTTTTGTCGAAATATCGAAATATCAAAATAAAGCGAAATGTAACATTACTAAACATTTGATGTAAGAACGGATATATAGCAAGGTAATGAAAAAGAAAAAGAGAAAAGAAAAAAAATATTGGGCATCAGGAAAGTTTTACGATCCTTCAAGGAACGACACGTGCCAGGCGAAAGTTTAATTAAATGCTCGAAGCCAGAATGCCGATCTTTCCGATAAGCGAGAATACCTTCATCTGAGGAAGAATCAAATTTAACTTCTACCTCGTATAAAGGATCTTCTCGGTCTTTTACCTAGGCACTCTTAGTCTTGAATTCCCCTCTTCAACGTTATAATAAAATGAAAAATGATATTAATCATTAGAGAATTGAATTTAATTAACTAAATATATAGTAGATAAAAATGTATATATAGATATATTATTTTAAGAGATATAGAAGAGAAAGAGAGAGAGGAAAGGTCCTAATCGTTAACTTCCAGGCAGTTTCGGTCAGTCCCAAATGGTAGGAACGAACGGGCAAGCAAGCTAGCAAGGAAACGCGGGCGGATGGAAGTAGTTGCGGTAGTTTCTCTAGATTAGCCCTAGCACGATGCCAAGGGCGATCACGTGGATACGCGGACCGCACATTCGCTTCGGCTTAAGGTCATAACAATCTGACGTGATGACATTACCAAGTGAATTTGTAACTTCACTCACAATCCCGTTACTAAAACGCGCGAGCAAAGTTTTCGAAAGCCCACGAGTTCTGACGACGACTCCATCCACGTGCTGAAGTCCTGTACGTTCCTGCGCACTGAGAACGTTATAGTAACAGCAGCTCGATTTACTCTTCAGTGAGGACGACTAGGTAGGGAAAGAGACACACATAACATACACACATTACACACATGCACACACACACACATAAAGAAAAGACAGAAAGAGCGTACCAAGCGAAGTTATTATTACCATAATTTTCGACTAAATGCACTGCCCAACTCGGCGCCGGTAAATTCAACGTCGATGTTTGCTCACGTACGTGAACGAAATTACTCAGTCGCCGAATACGAAACGATTGCGTTGCATGCGGACGAAATCCACTTCGTTATTTCTAATGGATTCTGAAGTAGCGGATTTGATCGAATTCCCACGGTTCATCGTATCCCCTTTTTACTCTTTCACGTTACTCACTTCTGTCTGGTACGAGAATTTTCTGGATTTACACAAACTTTTCATTTCTAACTGATTTTTAAAAATTTTAATTTATGTTTTTGATTATATCACCGTTGAGATTTTATTTTTGTTTTTTTAACGACATATTTTCAATAGTCAATTTAACTTTTTTGATCTCTCAATTGAATTGAAAAATAAGATTGGTTCGTTTTAAAACAAAAATAAATAATGACAAATATTTTTATCCGCGTATCACGATATTATAGTAATAAAAAGATTTCTGTTGGAATTATGAACATCCTAATATATATAAGTGTCGATAAAGACAATTAAATGTCCCCCTCCTTACCCCCACCATCCTTAATTCGACCTCGTTTCGAAGTATATTTGTCTTCCTTAACTAATGGCTCACCGAAACACATGCGTGAAGATGGACTTTCACACGAATATAGACGCCTTTCTACACAACATGACTGATTTCACGTACAAAATGCTGGGCTTAACTGTGATATATGTACCTACCTTCAATAAAGATCTCACTGTCGAAAAAGCCAGTGCTGATAAGGAGTTGATCAAACGACTCGAGACTGTAGTGACTTACTGGACCACTCAAATCAAATTGACCCTTATCGATGAAGAAGAAACCGACCTTCACGAGCTTCTTTCACTCGATGACGAATACGAGTTTTGGATCTACAGATGTAAGTAATATATTTCGATAAACTCATGTTACTTTCTTCAAATTATTCTGTTTAATGATCGACAAGATCAAAATTATTATTATTATATGTTTTTTTTTGTTACAAAAAAAAACAACAATTGATTGTCGCTGTTTTTCTACACTATAATTAGGAAAATTTAATATTAACCCTAACAACAATTATGCATTATTAAAATTGTTTTCAACAAGCAAGTCTTAATAATAAAATATTATTAAGACTTATTCTATTATATAATAATAGAACATTTTTTCTAAAGATCTATTTTAATTTATATACGCACGACAGCAAAGAAGTTCGTCCATAGAAAAATGACTTATCTAAAGTGCAATATTATGTATATGTGATATTTTTATCGAATACTTTCCTGGTTCATTTATAATAGTATACTTTTTATGTATATATATATATATAAATTGATATTTGCCAATATATTGTGTAAAACAACTGAAAAAAATATAATCTGTCATTTTTTCAAGTAAACCGTGATAGAAAAAGTGTTAAAAAGCAAACTATAAAACATATCGTAAATTTGACTAACTCAGGTGTTCAAAAGAGTAACATGAAATCAATAGTTTAATGTTTCTTGATTATATTGATCTAACAAAGCTGTTTCTTTACTTTGTTCGCAGACGATAATCTCTGTGGACTAAATTATCAACTTCAGAAGTCTACGGTTGATCGCATCGTGAATATATTATTGGAAACTCAGTCGACTTACGTGCGTCAATTTCTCATGTTACGAGAAGAAATACAACAGAAAATGCTCGAAGCAAGATCGAACATTGAGTATTTAACACTTCTAAGGGAACCTTGTGAGGAATTAAAACAATGTACTACACCAGGTGGGTTAGTTCCGATTCTGCCAAAAATTATACATCTTTGTAGGACGATTTGGTTACATTCTCCTTTCTACAACACCACTGAAAAAATGGCAAATCTGTTCAGTGCACTAAGCAATCAAATTATTATAATTTGTGAAAACTTTATCGATCTTCAACAAGTATTCGAAGGAAAAACTCGTGCCAGTATTGAAATGTTTTCCGATTGTATTCGTGCTTGCGAAGATTATAAGAAACATTATCTTCAAGTAATTACATTTATACATATTCTTTTAATCGACAAAAATTAAGTATGCACAATTTAATTATATTTAAATTTTATTTAACTATGTTATTCATTTTATTTTATATTTAGTTTTGTAGAAATATCTATTATTTTTAAAAACTAAAACATTTGAAAACAAGAAAAAAATCAAATATTAAATTGCTTCTACAAAAGTTTCGTACAAAATTTACATTCGTTATAAAGCGGGATTGTAATAAATCACGAAATACCCATTTCTCTTTCTCCGAATACAAAAATAGTATGCTTTGGCAATTACAATAGATTACAAAAATATGCGTACAATTTTTTAAAGTCATATAAAGCTTTTTATATTGAACGTTTGGAATTTTTGAGTACATGTCGAGAAAAATATAAAAGTATGTAAAGTATATAAGAAATTTGAAAATATGGTTTTTTGATTTTGTTTATTGATCAGTATAAACGAAAGCTATTCAATTTAAAAATGTATTCAAATATTTTTATGATCAATCGTATATCTACTTCATAAAAACAATATGAGTAGGAATAATATGAAAAAATTAAAACTTGTTCATGATCTTTGAAAGCAAAATTGATTCTGAAATAAATGAAAATCATTTTATATTAAAACTACGCTTTTAAAATTGCATCATAAATGTACCATGGATAAATACATTCAAAGCTTATTGTAAAGCTTATTGTGTCATATAATTCAGTAGAGCTATAGGTAAATGCATTAAGAGCTTATTACATTTCATGTCATTGAAAATATTGTTAAAAGAATGAGAATATCACAGAGAAAAATATATTATATTGGAGCGTATAATTAAATAAATGCATTAATTTTAATCTATCGGAAAGAGATTTTTCATACGTTCAATATTTATTCTACACGATTGAGATTTATTTATGTACAATAACGTTAATTGTTTTTCATTCATATAACAAATTTAGATCAATTATTTTTCAGTAAACGTATGTCAATATTTATTGCAAATGCAATTTGAAAAATATCATTCGATAAAACAAAAAAAATCTTCAAATCTTACTGAAATCGTTATTCGATCAGAAAAAAAAAAGTTAAAACTCCTACACATTTAAAATAGTGTGTAAGTTAATCTTGAAAAACTGTGAACAGTGAAAACTCCTATATACCCGTTAAACTTTTCTTTGAGAACATAGAAGTAGTTTAGACAACGTAGGTATAAGTTTTCGCGTAAACCGAAAGGTGTAATAACGCCGACTTAGGCTTTCCCTTTTCGCGTAACACGATAAGCACGAATGAAATTCTCCTGTGCCGAGTAATACATCGCTATTTTCCGAGTTTCCTTAAGAAACTATGTAGGTATAAGTAAGGTAGACGACTACTGTAAAAGTTAATTTTATGGTGACAAACCTACGGATGATATTTACTTCGCAATTATAATAAAATGTTAGAAACTAATAAAAAAGTAAATAAATTCCAAGTTACGTTCGCAATTTGAACGAAATAAGAGTCAAATCTTTGACTCTGAATAGACGATCTCTTTCTAATTTTATTATACGTTAAAACAATAACAAAATTATTGAACAGATTTCAGATGCCCATATTACTTGTACCAAACATCCATGGGAATTAGAAACAGATTATATTTTTCGTCACATAAACGTTTTTATCGAAAGATGCCAAGACATGATAGTCATCTGCGAAGCGATGATAGATTTTGCTAGGTGAATATTCGGGCACTGATTAATAATTTCTATCTAAATTTTTAGTCGATACATTTGAATATCTATTTGCGTTTTTGCAAACATATATATGGCAAGTTCTCCAAAAAAATCGAAAATGGCCTTATCGAGTTGATCAGTTTTTTTTTTTAACTCGTAATCGAATTTTTTTGTGCTCAAGTCGTAGTATATGTCTTGTTTGAGGAAAATATTATAGTGGTCCCCAACTTTTTTGAGTTTGAATTGAATATAAAAATTTTTTAAAAATTTGAAAATGAGGGTATGACAGATTCGTGAGGGAATGATTTTTAATATGATTCTACAATAATTAAAAACTTTATAATGCACCAATCATTTGTTTTATTACAAAACTATAATAATTAAATMATTTTATTGRAAAAATATAATAATTAAATCCATACTTAATTATTAAATCCAGTCTTTTACTAAAGCCTCATCATCAGATAATGAAAGAATTTTACCAGGATAGACTTCGTTATTCCATGTTATAAGGACATGGTCACCAAATTTATATCCATAGGTATTTTTTTCAGAAGGAGTAATCTTCGATATCTTCACATTACTTTCTACTTTAACTTATTTTCTTTTACGTCGCGTTGATACTGCAGGTGTGTCCTTATTAGATACTTCAAAAGTTTTATAGTAACCAAGATGAAAATATTGGCATTTTCCAACGCAGTCAAAACAAGATAGAGTTCTAAATTCAAGCACATCATTTGAGAACACAAATTTGATTTTTTTTTGTCTTTATTTTTTTTTTTTTGTAGATTTTTTGATCAAGTTATCCGTATTATTGATTTCCGCTGTACTTACCACAATAAGCATTATTGAGGGACACTTTGAACTCAGAATATTTAAAAAAATTAAAAAATTTTATGAGGGAATGACGAGGAGGGAATGACGAAACGAAACAAAATTGCTATAAACTTAGG